GCAGAGATGGTCCAGATACTGTCAAGCTGGATTCTAAATCCTGGCCTCAAGCAATCCTTGCACTTCGACCTTCCAAGTGCTGGGATTACAGGCATGAACCATTGTACTGGGCCTGAAATATTAGTAATTTAAAACAGTTTGGGCCGGTCAAGATGGCTCATGCCTGTAATCCTAGCATTCTGGGAAGCCAGGCCAGGAGGATCATCAAGGTCAGGAGTTCAAAACCAGACTGAGCAAGGCGAGACACCCCTCTTACTAAAGCAGAAAGAAATTAATTGGCAACCAAAACATAGAAAAAAATTAGGCCAGTCGTATGTGGCTCACGCCTGTAATCCTAGCACTCTTGGGAGCCAAGGCAGGCGATTGCTCGAGTCAGGAGTTTGAAACCAGCCTGAGCAAGACGAGCAAGACCTTGTACTGTACTATAAATAGAAATAAATTAATTGGAACTAATATGTCTAGAAAAATTAGCGGGCATGGTGGCACAGGCCTGTAGTCCAGCTACTTGGGAGGCTAGCAGGAGGGATCGCTTGAAGCCCAGGTAGTTGGAGGTTGCTGGTGGCTAGGCTTGAACCACGGCCTCACTCTAGCCTGGGCGGAACGAGCAAGATCTGTCTCAAAATGAATTAAATAAATAAATTAGCAATGCATGGGTGCGCATGCTGTAAGTCCCAGCTACTTAGGGAGGCTGGACAGGAGGATTGCTTAGAGCCCAGTAGTATTTGAGGTGGTGTGAGCTAGAGTCAACTCGCGCATCTAGCCGGGCAAATGAGTGAGACTCTGTCTCAAAAAAAAGGAAGAAGAACAAAAACAGTTTGGAGGCTCTATCTTCGTCACATGCTTTTGGAGCCTGTGCGGGAACGTCGGCGTTGGTGTTCTTCAGGAGCCTCCCACTTGCTCTGGCTGTCCGCGTTCTCTATTTGCGCGAGTACCTGTGCACACTGACTTGAGAGGGAGGCAGTAGCGCGGCAGCTTGAATGGAGTCCGCAGTTACTACTGCTGCTGGAACATCAGTGCTAATAAGGATGGCTTCAAATCAAACAATGTTATCATGCTCAGCTTGGTCAATTTTTTTTTTTTTTTGAGAAAGTCTTGCTTTGTTGCCGACTAGACTGAGTGCCGTGGCATCAGCCTATCTCACAGCAACCTCAATCTCCTGGGCTCAAGCGATCCTTCCTGCCTCAGCCTCCTAAGGTAGCTGGGACTACAGGCATGCGCACCATGCCCGGCTAATTTTTTTATTATATCAGTTAACCAATTAATTTCTTTCTTATTTATAGGTAGAACGGGGTCTTGCTCTTGCTCAGGCTGGTTTCAAACTCCTGACCTCGAGCAATCCACCCGCCTCGGCTCCCAGAGTGCTAGGATTACAGGCGTGAGCCACCGCGCCTGGTTAAATTTTTGTAATTATGTTATTTATTTATCTATTATTTTTGGAGACAGAGTATCACTATGTTGCCCGGGCTTAGAGTTGCCGTGGCATCAGCCTACTCAAGCAACCCAAAATCCTGGGCTCAAGCGATCCTCCTGCCTGGCCTCCTGAGTAGCTGGGACTACAGGCACGCGCCACCATGCCTGGCTAATTTTTTCTATAAGTTGGCCATATTTCTTTATTTATAGTAGAGACGGGGTCTCGCTCTTGCCTAGGCTGGTTTGACACTCTGACCTGGAGCAATCCGCCCGCCTCAGGCCTCCCAGAGTGCTTGAGGTTACAGGTGTGAGCCCACGCGCCGGCCAAAACATTGGTCTCAATAATACCTGCTGATTATCAACCATGTGTGGTGAAAGATGACAGTAAATGTTGGATGAAGGGATGGGCTAAAACGGGTCGAGATTCACGGTTGTCTCTTGACAGAATAGACAGATGATATGGATACCAGAGCCGGGCGTCTCAAACCAAACAAAAATGCCAAAAATCATGATGGGTGCGATCGAGGTCACCCTGACTCTCGCAAGCCCCACTTGTGACCTGGGGTCACCTGAAGAGAACCTGTGAGAAAGCAGATGAGACCTCGGCTCAGACTAATATTCCAAAAACGTCTATAACTTTTTTCCTTGCCCCCATCTCCGTCTGGAGCATGAGGATAGGCGGCAGTACAAACCAAGCTTTTCATTATTGGGCATATGTGCCCAGTCCACCTTTTTTTTTTTTTTTGAGACAGTCTTGCTTTGTTGCCCAGGCTAGAGTGAGTGCCGTGGCGTCAGCCTCGCTCACAACAACCTCAAACTCCTGGGCTCAAGCAGTTCTTCTGCCTCAGCCTCCCAAGTAGCTGGGACTACAGGCATGCGCCACCATGCCCAGCTAATTTTTTCTATATATATTTTTAGTTGGCCAATTAATTTATTTCTATTTTTAGAGCGAGACGGGTCTCGCTCTTGCTCAGGCTGGTTTCCAACTCCTGACCTTGGGCGATCCTCCTGCGTTGGCCTCCCAGAGGGCTAGGATGACAGGTGTGAGCCACCGTGCCTGGCCTTGTGAGTGATTCTAATTGGATGCCAGGACCATATGGTTATAGAGGACCTCCTTTCCCTAGAGAGAAAGGACTCTGTATTGATCAATATAAAGTAGATATGGAGGGGCCACCTACTTATATTAGAAAAGGTCAACATTGCATAAAACCTCAACCACAAACCTGACTGGTGTCAATAGTAACTAAGAACAATAAAAAGATAAAATGAAAAAATAAAGAGAAGAATATAGAAAAAGAGAAAAGAAAAAAAAAAAAAAAAAGAAAAAAAAAAAATTTATATAAAAAAAAAAAAAAAATGAAAGAAATTAATTAAAAAAATTGTTCTTATCTTATGATACATATTTGAGATATTATGACATACCGATCTATAATTGGCTTTTAATTCTTGATCTCCTGTAGTGGTATATATATTCTGAAATTTTATTACTCTTGAACTTTTTCTTTTCCTAATTATTTTTTTCATTGTGATCTCATATTATTGATTATTTGCAATATCATGTTCCACTCTGCAAATGATTTTTATGTTACTTTTTTCTTATAACAAAGGTTCTTATCTGAAACGTATTACTATGTGTTTTAAAAGTCTCTGTACACATAATGTAAATATTCTCTATTCTTCAAATCATTCAATATTTATTTATTTCATAATTATTTTTCTTTATGGAGTGAGAGAAAGACCATTATTCATGCACTAGAATTTTACATACTCGTAATACTATTCAGTTATTTTAAGATACTATCTTGCCTTCCTATGTTTCTCTTATTATGATATATATTTTACTTGTTAAAATATTATTGTCTTATTTAACCTTTATCTTGTATCATAAAGATGACTTCGACAGTTTTTTCATTGTTTCTTAGTTTGTGTCTTGCTTTGAATATTAGGTACTTTATTGTTTATGAATATTCAAAATGTATTCATTCTTATTTAAATATAATGTGATACAAACTCTATAGAAATATACTATCTATTTACTTATTTCCATTAATATAAACAGCACATCATCTTTTTTATGTTCTGTCACTACCATAATATTGGTAGAATATCTGGTCAACTGACCGGATTTGCCATTTGTAAATAAGGAATAGTGCACTAATAGACAGATGAGGTGTATCTATTGGTATTCTAGGTAACTGTATAACGAGGCCTTGTGCGGCTTAACTTCTATTACGGTAGCTTCAATCTTGTTATGGCCATGTAAATTATAATTGTAAGACTGGGCTTTTATGGCCACCTTTCTTCTTATAAATAGTATTTATTCCTTATTTGATTTGGTTTATAATGATTGTGACAAAAGGAATGGTTCTGTAAATTCACTCTTACTTAATATACGAACACATAGTGCAATCTTCTGACAGGATCATTGTAAGTTTGTCTATTACTTTTGTGGTGGCTCTAAATGGGTTTAGCAGCCTTCTGCCCATCTGCCAAAGGCCTAATCTATATCAAATTGTTTAAAATCTTAACCTGTGCTGCATTTCGTTAAATTAACTCTTATGCCATGGACATTTCATTTATAAGTCTGGCGAAAAACATCATAACCACAAAATATGAGATAGACCCTGTATATTGAACGCTCTTATATGCAGTATATACACGCTCGCTTCATCCATTCAAATTAAAATATACTGGTATATATCAATAGCCTTACCTATGTGATTGTCAACATTCTATAATCTAATTTTTTGTAACTAAAATATTAGATAAATTCAAATTCATCATGATAATACACCTTTGCCCTTCTATACAAGGACTCTTATATTCTAAAAAGACTAAAATGGAATTTGGTGCCATAAATGAACAGCTGGCAAAAAACCCTGCATGATTTATTAGATAAATTGATTAATCGTATTTTAAAACACTCAAAAATATATATGGAATTTGTATGCTGCAATTTGGAATAATTGCAGTACTGTATTGCAGCTGTTCTGGTGTTGCCTTGCCAGACAGTGCAACACTATTACTGAGCTTTATGAAGAAACGGCATGGAGACATGTATCAAAATCATCATGGTTGAAGCTAAAGCATTCTGAGGGACAGTTTTAGATGGTCATATGCCATATTGATAATGCCGGTGCTATCAAAAGATCAAGAAGGGTGCGGTGGCTACTAACACAATGAACAATCCTATCACAATTAGGAGGCCAAGTGAGTGGCCTCAAAGGCTGGAAAGAGAAGAACGACCAACCAAACCCGCAAATAACAGTGAATCGCTCGAATTAGGATCAACAAGAGTTTCCTGTCTATCTTGCCTGCTGAGCAAATCAAGAGACAATGTCCTCCGGGTTACCACTAATTGAAATAGAAACAGTGGAAAGTTATTCATGGGAGACTAAATCTAAAAAGCAAACGTATTCTTAGTTAGAAAAATTAGATAACGGCAATAGACTGCCTCAAAAAAATAAAAAATAAAAAAATAAAAAAAAAAATTCCAGAATGCTAATCCTTAGTGTTAATGTGTGGTGCAATTATTTTATACCTAACTATAAAGAGTAGTATAGCTGGACAAACTGATGATCATTCACTAGTGAGATGTTAATCTTTTTATTGGAGTCTTTCAGATAAAACCAGATTGTTGCACAAGATAAAGCAAATACAAGTAAAAGCTATCTACTTGACAGGTAAGTGCCCCCAAATATCTAAGTAATTTTTTCTCCAATAAGATTATAGCTGTTCACACAGGTCAATACAGGAAAGATGTTCCTAGGATCTGCTCAGCACCAACTAGAGGACATCCTTTGTATCAGCAAAATCCTGAAATTTCATAAAAGGAACACATTAAAACCATGTAAGCAATTGGCAGTATATGAAGATGGACAGGTAGAAGGGGTGCCGGACAGGATGAAGGGGAGGTGAAGAGTGGATCAGATGGTTTCAGAGATCCTCAGAGACAAGCTCAGAGACTCTAGTCCAACCAGGTCATCATTACTACTCTGGGGCTGGAAACCAATAATAGGACACTCACCACAGCAAACAGGGGGAAAGGGCGTGGCTCTCCACTCGGCACAGCCTGCAGGTCAGGAATTAGGAACCATCATCTAGGCATCACAGCCTTCCCAAAGCCAAGTCCCCAAAGCAGTAGGCTCCAAACTTTAGGTCTTTAGCCAACAGGTAAGTGTAGAATCTGTGAATGGGCACTGCCCCAGATGGGCTTCCAGACTCTCATTCTAGAAAGACAGAAATGGAACCACCAATGAGAATAAGCAGAGAGTTAACAGCCCTCCCTTTGGATCCTCTCAGGGACCCAAGTATCCAGTTCCCTAAATGAGTCAGAACTTAGTTTTGACATCATGACCATGTGTCAGAGACTCTAGTCTGTGAAATCATCATTCCCAATTTAGGGAGACCTGGATCAAGGGAAGCCATTCAGAAGGGACGCAGTACACTCAAGACAACAGTTCCAGGGGGGGTGGGATGAGAGAAAAAGAAAGAAAAAAAAAACTGTTCCAGTATATAAAGATCTAACAAATGAGTCCAGGGATGGAAGTTTCAGAGGAGTAGGCAATAATTCAAAACTGCAGATGAGCTCCACTGGGAGGTACTAGTGTACCTCCAGGTTTACAGTAGAAATATGGGGGAAAGATGCACAACATGTTAAAATACAATAGTCACAAGCGAAATGTAAACCAAAAAAATGTTTTTTAAGACTGGCACAGTGGTTCACACCCATAATCCTAGCACTTTGGGAAGCTAAGGCAGGATGATTACTTGATGCCAGGAGCTCAAAACCAGCCTGGGATATACAGGGAGATCCGGACTCTTTAATGGGAAGGCTAAACTGAGGCAGAATTGCTTGAGCCTGGGCGTTGGAGACTGCAGTCAGCTGTGACCCTGACACAGCCTCCAGCCTAGACCACAAAACTACACAGTCTCAAAAGGGGAAAAAAGCAGTCTTTAGAAAATCACCAGGTGAAATATTTTCACTGCTGCACGTGTTCATTAGAAAATAAGGCAGACCTCCATAATGCCCATGAATAACTTGAGAATAAAATAGCGAGAGGCAGTCAGGGAGCTCTCGCACCCAGTACTCACCTTTATTCAAGGACAACACGCCGATGGACGTCTTAAAACTCCTAATGGGGAAATGAGGCACAGAAGCTTAATTTTAACAAGGGTTCCTGACTATCGACCCCTCTTCCAAGCCCAGATCTAAGGATCCTGGCCCTGGGGGGGGGCGGTCAGCGCGCTGCGGTGGTTGGCATCAGCGAGACACTCAGTCACCTGAAGTCGTCATCACCCCCATCCTCCCCCAGGTCGAACGCCAGTCCATCTCACAATCACAGACAACCACTCACCATTATGGTGCTGCGAGGATAGGAAGCTTGGGAAGAAACCAATGAGTCAGCAGAGGTCGGAGCGACTCCAGCTGAGTTCCCCGACCTGACCTACGTCAGTTCCAAGCAGTGGCGTCAGGCAGACATCACGAACTACTTTGCAACGGTTGTTCATACAGATAAGCCGAGGCCTGCCGACCCGTCCCCCAGCCGGGCTCGGAAGTGCCCGTGCACGGACTGCTGTGCAAAGGCGGCGCGGGCCGCAGGCGCCTGCCGCTCCCCTCGGCTCAGCAGCAGGCTCCACTGCCGGCGCCAGGAAGACACCCGCGACCGCATGCTGCCAGCGGCCGGCCAGCCCGGCGCGGAGAGGAGAGACAGACAGACAGGAGACAGAGAGGGCGGCGCGCGGAGAGGAGAGAGAAGACAAGAGGGCGGCGCGCGGAGAGGAGAGAGGAGACAGGGAGGGCGGCGCGCGGAGAGGAGAGAGGAGACAGGGAGGGCGGCGCGCGGAGAGGAGAGAGAAGACAAGAGGGCGGCGCGCGGAGAGGAGAGAGACAGGAGACAGAGAGGGCGGCGCGCGGAGAGGAGAGAGACAGGAGACAGAGAGGGCGGCGCGCGGAGAGGAGAGAGACAGGAGACAGAGAGGGCGGCGCGCGGAGAGGAGAGAGACAGGAGACAGAGAGGGCGGCGCGCGGAGAGGAGAGAGACAGAGGACAGAGAGGGCGGCGCGCGGAGAGGAGAGAGACACAGAGGACAGAGAGGGCGGCGCGCGGAGAGAGAGCGGCGCGCGCAGGGGCGGACTATTTATGGCCGCGCCGGCGGGGCCTGACGGACGGATGTCTTCTCCCTGCCTGGCTCCACGCGTGGCATTTTTCCCATCGTTTGTCGAATAGAAACAAAACAAAGTGAAAAGAGGGCCGCGAAAGTATGTTTCACCCTCCTCTGCACAAATATTTGGAACTGTTTTGTGAATTTGAAACACAAAAAACATGCTAATATGGCAGGGCCGGCGGGAGAAAGGCCCCAGCGCCGGCCGACCGGCGCGAGCTGGGCGCCCCTTCCCAGGACCCTGCGCGCCCCCGCCCGCGCCCGCGCCCGCGCCCGCGCCTCAGCCTCCCGAGTAGCTGGGACTACAGGCATGCGCCACCATGCCCAGCTAATTTTTTCTATATATAGTTTTAGTTGGTCAATTAATTTCTTTTTATTTTTAGTAGAGACAGGGTCTCGCTCTTGCTCAGGCTGGTTTCCAATTCCTGACCTCAAGTAATCCGCCTGCCTCGGCCTCCCAGAGTGCTAGGACTACAGGCATGAGCCACCCCGCCCCGCTCCTTACTTATAAATTTAGATAACGTTTTGGCTGGGCACAACTTTGGGAGGCAGAAGCAAGAGTCTCGATTGAGGCCAGGAGTTCGAGACCAGCCGGTGCAATAACGAGACCACGTCTCTACAAGTTTTTTTTTTTTAATTAGCTCGGCATGGTGACACATGCCTGTAGTACCAGCTATTCGGGAGGTTGAGGCAGGAGTGTTAGGGACAGAAAAACAAGAGGTAATAGAATGACAGGAGCAGAAAAATGACAAGGGGGCCAGGCGCAGTGGCTCACGCCTGTAATCCTACAAGAGGCTGAGGCGGGTGGATTGCTTGAGGTCAGGAGTTAGAAACCAACCTGATCAAGAGCGAGACCCGGTCTCTACTATAAATAGAAAGAAATTAATTGGCAACTAATATATATAGAAAAAATTAGCCGGGCATGGTGGCGCATGCCTGTAGTCCCAGCTACTTGGGGAGGCTGAGGCAGGAGGATTTCCTTCCTTCCTTTTCTTCTTTCTTCCTGTTTCTTTTGTGCAAGAGTCTCGCTCTGTTTGCAGGCAGAGTGAGTGCCATGGCGCCCGCTGCCTAGCTCACAGCAACCTCAAAAATTCCTCGGGCTCAAGCAATTCCTCA